ACATTTTATATATATATATTATATATATATATGGTGAGCAGTTTGGGGGAGGGTGTTTGAGATAGTGGTGGGCTGCATGGATTTTACATTTGTGCAGTTTGCCTGGGATTGCCTGGTGTGAATGGCGGAGGTTTTTGAAAAATGTAAGCTAGACTACTTTAGGTGTTGGAAATGATGGTGTTTTGCAGAAGGCCCCCATGTCCAAACAGTCAAGCTTACATTTTCTTATTACTTCTTATCCCATCTTATTCCCACATTATGTCATAGGGTGACATATTGAATCAGAATGCGACATATCTTGCAAAGCATTTTTCTGCCTGCCTAGGCTGGCACTGCACCTGAAGGAGCATCTGCTGAGAACGACATGGGGCACCTAGATCACTGTAGATGACTAAGATTGGTATGGGTTCACCGACATTCACAAATATTGACAAGTTCCTTTGATAGTAATATAACATATAGTTTCTTTAAGTTTCTTATGGTTTCCAGTGGTTTCTTGATGCTCCCTATTTAAGCGCGAAAGATGTAAGTTGATGCAAGATCATGCAAGAAAAAGCAAGACCCTATTTCATATATATATATAAGGTGAGCAGTTTGGGGGAGGGTGTTTGAGATAGTGGTGGGCTGCATGGATTTTACATTTGTGCAGTTTGCCTGGGATTGCCTGGTGTGAATGGCGGAGGTTTTTGAAAAATGTAAGCTAGACTACTTTAGGTGTTGGAAATGATGGTGTTTTGCAGAAGATCCCCATGTCCAAACAGTCAAGCTTACATTTTCTTATTACTTCTTATCCCATCTTATTCCCACATTATGTCATAGGGTGACATATTGAATCATAATGCGACATATCTTGCAAAGCATTTTTCTGCCTGCCTAGGCTGGCACTGCACCTGAGGGAACATTTGCTGAAAACGACGTGGGACACCCAGATCACTGTAGATGACTAAGATTGGCATGGGTTCACCGACATTCACAAATATTGACAAGGTCCTTTGATATTTATATAGTTTCTTGAAGTCTCTTATGGTTTCCAGTGGTTTCTTGATGCTCCCTATTTAAGCGCGAAAGATGTAAGTTGATGCAAGATCATGCAAGAAAAAGCAAGATCCTATATATATATATATATATATATATATATGGTGAGCAGTTTGGGGGAGGGTGTTTGAGATAGTGGTGGGCTGCATGGATTCTGCCCCCCCCATTGCTTTCAGCTTACATTTGTGCAGTTTGCCTGGGATTGAAAGGTGTGAATGGCGGTGGTTTGAAAAATGTGAGCTAGATGACTTTAGGTGTTGAAAATGATGGTGTTTTCCAGAGGATGCCCATGTCCACACAGTCAAACTTACATTTTAATTTCTACTTCTTGTTCAATCTTATTCCCACATTATGCCATAAGGTGCCATATTGTGTATTATTGGATCATAATGTAGCATATCTTGCAAAGCATTTTACTGCTTGCCTAGGCTGGCACTGCACCTGAGGGAGCAATTGCTGAAAACGACGTGGGACACCCAGATCACTGTAGATGACTAAGATTGGCATGGGTTCACCGACATTCACAAATATTGACAAGGTCCTTTGATATTTATATAGTTTCTTGAAGTCTCTTATGGTTTCCAGTGGTTTCTTGATGCTCCCTATTTAAGCGCGAAAGATGTAAGTTGATGCAAGATCATGCAAGAAAAAGCGAGATCCTATATTTTATATATATATATTATATATATATGGTGAGCAGTTTGGGGGAGGGTGTTTGAGATAGTGGTGGGCTGCATGGATTCTGCCCCCCCCATTGCTTTCAGCTTACATTTGTGCAGTTTGCCTGGGATTGAAAGGTGTGAATGGCGGTGGTTTGAAAAATGTGAGCTAGATGACTTTAGGTGTTGAAAATGATGGTGTTTTCCAGAGGATGCCCATGTCCACACAGTCAAACTTACTTTTTAATTTCTACTTCTTGTTCAATCTTATTCCCACATTATGCCATAAGGTGGCATATTGAATCATAATGGCGGAGGTTTTTGAAAAATGTAAGCTAGACAGTTTAGGTGTTGGAAATGATGGTGTTTTGCAGAAGATCCCCAAGTCCAAACAGTCAAGCTTACATTTTCTTATTACTTTTTATTCGATCTTATTCCGACATTATGCCATAGGGTGACATATTGAATCATAATGGGACATATCTTGCAAAGCATTTTTCTGCCTGCCTAGGCTGGCACTGCACCTGAGGGAACATTTGCTGAAAACGACATGGGACACCCAGATCACTGTGGTGACTAAGAGTGGCATGGGTTCACCGACATTCACAAATATTGACAAGTTCCTTTGATAGTTATATAATATATAGTTTCTTGCAGTTTCTTATGGCTTCCAGTGATTTCTTGATGCTCCGTATTTAAGCGTGAAAGATGTAAGTTGATGCAAGATCATGCAAGAAAAAGCAAGATCCTATATATTATATATATATAGTCGTCCCGGAATAGATAGAAAAGTGCCAAACCTCGAAAACCGATCTAGATTATAGATTTTGGGCCTACTTTTCCATCTATTGTATCGTACTGTTTTTTGCGGTAAATCGTGCAAAAAACGTGTTTTTCTGATGATTCTGGAAACAGATTTTACTGTAAATAGCGAATCAATATAATAGATGGAAAAGTAAAACGTTGCAAAACCGATCTTGATAAACCAAAAAAGTGTACAAAAATCAAGCTTTTCCTGCAAATACCAGGTCGATACAATAGATGGAAAAGCACCCTTTACTCAGTTTATGCAGTTTTCAGGGGAAAACTAACAATATGAGCCCCGTTTCTGCAGGCTTCCAGTGCAATTCCCATAGTAAACCGCAATGGTCCCAATGGCATTAACGTTTGCGGGTCCCATTTTCTAAGTCACTGAACTGAAGAACGGCCACCCTTTTCCCATTTCCCATGCTCAAAAGCAGTCGTCCTTAGTTCGGAGTTCTTAAAATCAAAGCTTTAAGCTTTTTTCCGACCAATCTGCCTGGCCATTTTCATTGAGTACATGCAACCTTCTTCGTAAAGTCTTTCGTGGTAGTGCCCATGAAAGGGCAGTACATTCTCCAAGACTTCTTTGTATCGTAAATCGAATTCTGCACTCAGACCCCCCTCAGGCCTAGAGCTAATGCACTTTCAGTGCTTTTGTGCCCAAAACATGTGGGATGAAGCGCAACCATCTAGTACTAAACACGACTTACAAAACCAAAACTTTTGATGTTTGGCAGGGCATCATTCATAACAGCAATTGGAATCCCTTCGGGCCAGCTTAAAGATTGGGTTTTGAGCTTGGGACACTGCTCAATGGAACTAAATCAAATGGCATTTGGACATTTCCATCTATTGTATCCCCCAGGTAATTCATGTCCACTGCTGAATGCGCAAGTTCATCCCGGAAATTGCAATGTTTGCAAATCGTTGGAGGAGCTATCCAAATTGAACAAAAACCAACAAATTCCACATGAAACACCAGCTAAACAACTTGGTTCTGCTTGTATAGTCTGGAACAACTAGCTCCACCTAAAAACTTCAGCGCTTTTGTGATCGCAGCATATGGGATGCCGCCCAGCCAGCTAGTGCGACACGCGACTTGCAAAAACACAGCGTTTGCCTGGATACATATATATATAATTATTTATGAAATTGATCAGTGTCAGAACCAAATTGGCTATGATGTTTGGCAGGGTGTCATCCATAACTCCAAAACAATAACTGGAATCCCTTCGGGCCAGCTTAAAGATTGGGTTTTGAGCTTGGGACACTGCTCAATGGAACTAAATCAAATGGTATTTGGACATTTCCATCTATTGTATCCCCCAGGTAATTCATGTCCACTGCTGAATGCGCAAGTTCATCCCGGAAATTGCAATGTTTGCAAATCGTTGGAGGAGCTATCCAAATTGAACAAAAACCAACAAATTCCACATGAAACACCAGCTAAACAACTTGGTTCTGCTTGTATAGTCTGGAACAACTAGCTCCACCTAAAACCTTCAGCGCTTTTGTGATCGCAGCATATGGGATGCCGCCCAGCCAGCTAGTGCGACACGCGACTTGCAAAAACACAGCGTTTGCCTGGATACATATATATATAATTATTTATGAAATTGATCAGTGTCAGAACCAAATTGGCTATGATGTTTGGCAGGGTGTCATCCATAACTCCAAAACAGTAATTGGAATCCCTTCGGGCCAGATTAAGGATTGGGTTTTGAGCTTGGGACACTTCTCAATGGAACTAGATCAAATGGTATTTGGACATTTCCATCTATTGTATCCCCCAGGTAATTCATGTCCACTGCTGAATGCGCAAGCTCATCCCGGAAATTGCCATGTTGGCAAATAGTTGGAGGAATTTTCCAAATTAAGTCCACATGAAAGCAGAACTATGTGTCAAAACCTTGAAACCATCCTGGGTTAAACAACTTGGTTCTACTTCAAAATAAAGTGTGTTCCTCCCACATTGCTGCAAAAGAAAGGGGCAAGATCTAGTCAGCAAATGTCCTCACCTTCACCAAATTTATCTTATTCTTCATCCGAATCATCTAGATTATCCCCTGGGTCACCATCGGGAAGCCCAGTAAGACCTTCAATCTCCTCTTCATCCGCCTCTTTGACTCCATCAAGGGTAGGTTCAGGAGCAAGCCCACCATCCGACTCGAACCTGAAGATGAGCGAATGGAGAGAATACACACAAATACCAGCAGGATACAATAGATGGAAAAGAAGGCCCAAAATCTATAATCTAGATCGTTTTTCGAGGTTTGGCACTTTTCTATCTATTCCGGGACGACACACACACATATATGTATATATATGTATACATACATATGTGTGTGTGTATGTAATGCAATTTGATGTTTATATAGTTATATATATTACGCATATGTATATGTATGTAAACAATGTGTATATATATATACACATATCTATATTGCCAAAATTACCCCATTTGTGTGCCTGATGCAAAAAAGGAATAAACCAAACCACATACTACCGAATTATGTATTTTGAAAGGGAAATGGATCCTTTCAAGGTACTAAATAATCCCAAAACATATATTATATACAGTAGTATAACATATATATATATATAAATAAGCAAGAATGTCTCAAACCCAAGCAACTCCCTCACCACAAGCTTGTGCTTGGGACCCTTCCCAAAGCGTAGGGTCAATTGTTCTGCTTCAAGGGCCATGCAGATTGTCAGAATGACATACCGTTTCCCCGTAGTCTTGGAAGAAATCCTTGAAGATGCAAGGACTCTATGATTGTCCACGTCCACAACCAAAGTGCGTTCTGGGTCAGCCAGGAAGGAATCCTAAGATTGGGTAGTCATGCAGGAAACCAGGAAAATAAGGATATTTTCTTTCTTTTGCATTTGGATATATATATATATTATAGCATATATATATATATTATAGCCTATGTGTACATATAAATAACTATATTTGCGACTGAGCCGCGCGTACTTTTCTATCTTTTGTATCCCCCATCTAATTGTGAACGCACTTGACAACAAGTGAAAACGGAAATGTCTTCAAAACAAGCCAAAGTTAGTTTGCAAATCATTTCAAGTAACATAACGCTGCTTCATTTTGGGGGCCAAAACCTTCCCCTCCAATGCCCTTGCTGCGATTCTGCGATCCCATGCTTCTCGCGTTGCAAGCCACTGACTGACCAAGACCTCCAAGGAAGTGTTGACCCAAATAGGGAGTTGTATGGTTTCCCCACCTTCAGCAAGTGCGAACCATGCATGGAATTTCTCCCCTTTGAGGACACAGTTTGCATCCTGCCACTTGTGCTGGTAAACCTGTCAGGGGACCCGACCAATCGCGAGGTTTCTGTCAAAAAACGAGAATTTACCACAAATACCAGCAGGATACAATAGATGGAAAACTCTGTTTGTCCAAACCCTCGTCAATAATGTGAAGGTGTTTTACTTTTCTATTTTTATCAATCTATTGCGGATTGCCGAAATATATATATATATTTATTTATTTATTTTTATATACAGACGCACATATGAACTTTTCTTTTGAGATTACCCCACCGAATGGTCCACTTCGGGCACTTGGCTCATAAACAGCATGTCTCTGAAGCCACCCCGGCACAACTCCATGCTCTTGTCCAGATCCTCTTTCTTGCCATTGTAGCACCAGTCAGCCAACTCCTGCTCCTTCACATGCCCCGTAGAGCACCAAGCCCATTGAATGATGGCACCAGATCTGTATTCCCGGAGCTTTTTCACAGCAAACGCATCTGCTGCCAAAGACACTCGCAGAGGGCAGGAGATAACTGGGATGTCATGTGGCCCCAACTCCTTGTCAGCCAGGTTTGCCACTAGTGGGTTTGGAGGTACTCCGCATGCTGCTCGAAGGTAAGACGCTCTGAGTAGGTGAAAAAATTGGTGGAATCTAGCAGGGAGACCGGCACCCAAAGACTCAAATGGCATGCTCTTTTTCACACACACATACATATACATATACATGCATATATATATACATACACACAACTGTATACATAGTAGACAGCAGGTATGTTATATATACATATATATATGTATGTGTGAACGTTGTTGTTTGTATTTTTTCTTTTTTGTGACCACACAAAAAGAAAAAGAGCATCTATTTGGCTTGAAGTTGATATAAACGACTTGGCTCAAGATGATGTACATTCTATACATGCATCTTTTCCATCTTTTGTATCCCCTTGGTAAAAACGCATTTTCCAGAACATCCAGCCTGTCATTGGGCTGCATGGTTGCGCCATAGCCGCCTGGCACTGCGCAGGGCCCCTCGTTGTCAGCCCCCAGCAGCACCACATTGTGTTCCTTTGCCCACCTGGCCCTCATGTCCTGGAAAACTTGGCTCTGATGCGATGGGGCTCTGTCACAGATTGCCAAGCAAGGGCATTGGCTTGCATCCGTGTAGCCCAATGACAACCTCTTCCGTCTGATTTCTTTGGCGACAAAGTCCAGGAACTTTACACACACCTCGCCATTCCACATGTGTGTCTTCTTGCATGAGTGTTCCACATGCAGGGTCCCTTCATACAAAGAGTTGATTTCATCCACTTCGCAATCTCTCAGCTGACCTTCACCAAAAGTGACAAAAAGTGGGCCTAGCTCTCCATCACACCATGAAATCGTTGTAGAGGTTCGAGGGGCGCGCCACCCAGAACATGTGACTGTACCACCATAGCCGCATATGTCAGCCAAGTTCTTTTCCCAGGAAGCCGATTTCCTCAGCAAAGGAGTTGACATGACACATTTCCATCTATTGTATCCGCCCCCAGAATCCAGAAAAAATACATTTTCCCCCAAAAAGAGGTGGAACTACTTTTGGATGCTGAAAACAGCCGGACTATATATATATATACATACATACATATACACACATATACATATACACACAAGGTTTGGTATCCCCGACAAAAACCAAACACAGCTTTCCTTTATATTTTTACTCTTGCTTTCTAGGTGGCAAAATTGGGCAATTCTTTTGAAATCAACACATCGCTGACGGGATCGATTTTATTTTTGGGATAACGCATCAAACTTTGGCATTTCCATCTATTGTATCCTCATTGGAATCTTGGGCTTCATCCCCCCCCAAAAAAATCGCCTATATATGTATACATCTTTCAAGGATTAAATGCGGATCTAAATGGCTCTTATTTCCGTACTTTGCGGCTTAGGGGCTCAGCAAACTCACGGTCGTTCCCAAAGAGATCAGATAGTGCATTCGCAATCTTCTTCCGGCCACCAAAACGCTTCAGTTCAGACTGGATCCCTTCCTTCCCGTTCTTCCACAGCACTTTGCGTTTCGGCTCGTACAAACCTCCGAGAGGACAGGCAGGTACACTGTATATATATATATATATTCATATTTACAGTTGTATATCATGTGTATGTATATATATATATATGTGTGTGTAGATTTGTGGGATGCGCGTGCCATGTTTTCTTGAAAACGTGAATGCAGCACACACACACACATATATATATATACATATAGTCGCGACTATATGTACATATACATGCAAATACCTGCAGGATACAATAGATGGAAAAGTAGTATATATATAATTATCTATATACACATAATTAATGTAGATCGGTTTTCAAGGTTTGACCATTTGCCATCTCTTCTGGTGACACTACATATCTATATATATATACACATACCGAAATCAAACCAAAAGGGACCACAATGTTTCCGAGAAACAGGTCCAGACTTGGTCCCAGTTGAACATTAGTCGAGGGTCCACTTTTGAATCATCCCTGAGGGATTGGATGTATTCACCCAATTTTTTCATGCTGTAGTGCTCCCTGCTCAGATGCTTTGATGGACGTTCTTGTCGGTATTTGGAAAAGCCCCATTGTCTACAAAAGCGTTCAACAGTGTGTTGCATCCGTTTCTCTGTCCATTCTTTGGAGATAACAGGCACTAGGGCAGGAGGTTTTGAGGCGATGGCTTCCAGCTCGTCTTCTGTCAGCTTGCCGCTTTCGCTCAGCTCTGCCAATCGCTCCACATGTTTACCCTGGGATTCCTTGTTGTAAGTCTCTGCCTCTTCGTTGTAGATGTCTACTAGGGTTTCGAAAAGTGAGACCACACTTTTGGTGTCCATCTCCAATCCCCGAGTGCACTCCTCCATCAGAATTCCATCAGCAATAGCAAGAAGCTCGTTGGGGATCAGTTCCTTTTTGGGGCCTTTTGCTTTGATCTCGTCCAATCCCAGTCGATGTTTCAACCAGTTTGGAACTTCATCAAACTTGGCCGCCTGGTTTGGCAGCATCTTTTGAAAAAGATCCCACTTGAACTTCTTCCTGGATCCCCCCCACTTACTGTCGGAGCAACAGCCGCTGAAGTATCCGGGGCGTTTTCGGTTCAACATCTCCTGAAGTCACAAATAGCTGCAGGAAACAATAGATGGAAAAGCATATTGATATTTTGACTTGGGCTTGAGCCTATCTATATGTATGTCTGTATGTGCTGTGTGTATATATATATACATATGTATATGTTTGTGTGTGTAGGGTCTAGACCAGCAAACAAAAATAGTCACCCGTAAAAAGCTGAAACAGCAGCAGGATACAATAGATGGAAAAGTGCGTTCAGAAGATAATCTTTGCGTTTTTCTGGGGGGGCTAATCTAAAACAAAATGTGTGCACTATATAGATATATTTATGAATCCAGCAACACAGAGAATATAGGGTTTGACAAATAGAAATAATAACAAAAAAACAGAGCAAACATAAAGAACAAACTAGAAAAGCAAAATCAAGGAAACAACAAGAAAAAAACAAAAATAAAACAACACGCCAACAAGATAAACAAGAAAAAACAAAAAACAATACAAAAAACTGAGGAAAATGCATTTGTTTTTGTTTATTTTGAGTTTTTTATTGTTTTTTTGATTTTTCTGGTGACTCTTCCTGTCGAGTTGCTTTTTTTGGTGATTCGGTTTTTGATTGCGTGTTTGTGTTTTCTGTGTTCTACACGGGATCATATATATATATATATTACATACATATGTACACACACACACCTGGAACAAAAAGTGCATCAGGAATTTTTGAAGGCTGAATAGTCTGTTCTCTTGGATCCAAACCGTGACAAAAGTAAAATATCATTTTGGTCAAAACACATGTCCTGGTTGGCGTTCTTGACACCGCTATTCTTGAGTTCATGAAACTCGTCCAGAAGTTTCAGTTTCTTTGCGATCGAGATGCAGTCGCCCTTGGTGCCAGACTTTTTGCTCAGTTTGGCGACAGGGCCACATTCATGGTTCCTAGCAGCCAGCAGCAGGAAGTGTCTTAGACACAAAACAATATTTAGTGTGTATATATATATATAGATAGATATAAGATATGTATAGAAATATAAGGTGTTGCCTTTTCATGGATGGGAAAGGACTGTAAAGATGTAATCAGAATCATCCAGACTGGTAATCCTGTGGGTTCAAAAGTATTGTTGTTGAACAGCGCCAGGAAAGATGAAGATACAAATCATCACCTGTCTATTGATGTCGGCTTTCTATGTATATATATATATGTATATATATATATATGTATGTGTGTGTCTTGATAGAGATATAAAAAGCAAAAACATATTTTCAAACAGATGGTGTATAAATGACCACGGTATCTAGTTTCAGCATCAGGGAGCCAAGCTTGGGACGATGGCCTAATGCCGGTTAAGTGAGTGGCATGGGCTCTCAGAAGTGGGGTGTCCCCGTGTGGCAACCCCAAGCAAACCAGGAATCAAAACAATTGTCACTTTTCTATCTTTTGTATCCCCTGTCTATTTTGGGGGCTAAGCTGAAATTTCCCAGCGGCAGTTAGTTAAATAGACAATGTTGAAACTGGTTCCCAAAACAAAGATTCGGGTGCCCCATAACATATAGAGTTGTGGGTTATATGTATATATATATATACATAGAATGGAATAGGTGAATGGATGCATGGATGGAAGAAAAAATGAATTGAACCGCCGGTTACACCCACTGGAATCCCTTTTCCATCTATTGTATCCCCCAACAGATTGGTGGTTCTAATGGTCAAATAGAACTAAGGGATACTGTATCTTTCACACCATTGGTGGAAGAAGGTTGGAAAAAGCCCCAGCGAATAATAGCAGGGAATTGCCTCCTCATCTTTTGATCCATTGATATCCCACATGTCATGTTGTGGCGGGTTTTGGAACTGTTCCCATTGGCTGGTGTCTTTTAAGCCCATTGGGTCCCTTTTCCAGATGAGTAAATAAATAAATAAGTAAATAAATATATATATATTTAATATTGCATACCCCAGGAGACTGTTGGAACTAAAGGCCAAACCTCTTTTTGAGACCTGCTTATATAAATAAAATTGCATATATATATATATGTATATATAGAGAGAGAGAGAGACCCGATGATTGATGTGGTTTGGGCCCCTTGGATCCCCTTTTCCATCTATTGTATCCCCCAGCAGATTGGCAGATAAAATGCTAAACCAATTTCCCAATGTGAAGGTATTTTTACATCACTGGAGAAAGGTTGAAATGTCCCGAACCTAAAACCATGGATTTGGTCAGGCAATCACCCTTGGCCACTAGAAACTGATTCTCTATTGTTTTCATCAGGATCCCAGTTGTAGGGGGGCCCACAGAGAGCCAAAACCTTTTGCCAGACAAGCATCCCATCACCTGAAGGCCGCTTGTTGTTCTTTTTGGGCTCCTCCTTCACATCGGCAGAATCTGGCGCTGGAGGCGGGCGGTGGACATTCCGCTGTCTCCTCTGTTTGGATTGTCGCGGTGGAGAAGAGAAGTCAGCACGTGAAGCCATCTCGCCCCAGGCAGCATGTGAGATCATCGAAGCAATGACGTTGGCCTGGAGCACAGTAGTGGGAAAGGCGTTGCCAGCAAGATCCCGGGATAGATTCTCAGGCAGCCCCCGAACTTCCTCTGGGTAAGGATAGTCCTCCGGGAATGACCCTTGAAGGCGTAGTGATTCAATCCCCACCAACGGCCTTTGAACTTGGCTGCACCAAATCTCATGGGAGGGGCGAATGCAAGTGCTCGCACCGACCATGTATTCAATCCTCTTTTCTGAAGACCCCATGTGCAAGCAAACACATGCATCCTGGCTCACCTTGTTTTTTTCAACTTAGCTTGGATCAGATCCCAATTGCGTACATCCTGTGGACCATGCAAAGGGCGGGGGTCAAGCCCAGGCTCCAGAAAGTCATCCAAACTGAAGTGTTGATCCTTGGGGCCCAATCCCAATTTCCCAAAGATAGCTTTCCACGCATGTTGCTCTGATACCATCTTCTCCGATGTTTTCAAACCATTTGCGGAAGAACACCCAAAGACTCGGTTTCTTCGTTGGGGAAGTAGATAGTTGTTGGCATCCACCTTGGAGAAACTGAAGGAGTGACCACGGTCCCCCAAGTCTTTGATGAGGGTTTCGATGAGAGGTGGGCGAGACACTTTCTCCGCATCCGTGATACCTCAGGTCAACAGGTTGCTGAGAATGATTGGAACAGCGGTGATGGCTGGGAAACCTGTGGGTGACAACGGGGTCCGGTAATACCCTATCATAATTATATATATATACACATATAATTACATAATTAAATATATATCTATATATGTAAATATATTTAAAGAAGCCACCAAATATAAAAAAGAACGGAAAACACTTTTCCATCTATTGTATCCCCCAGCATATTGGTGGATCTATATAGGTCAAATCTCTTTCAAGACCTATCTATCTATCTATCTATCTATCTGTTTATATATATATATATAGATATAGATAAAGAATATAGATATATAGATATAGATACAGTTGCTACAGAAAAAAAACAGTAGTCACTTTTCCATCTATTGTATCCCGCAGCATATTGGTGGATCTATATAGGCCAAATCTCTTTTCGACAAATGTTTTAACCACTGAATGTTTTAAACCTGATTGTGGACATAATTTATGGATAGACATCTCATTTTTCAACATATTTTGACCCAAAAAAAATAAGAAAAAAATCTTTAGATTTTCATTCCAATACCTTGAAAATGAACCACTGAATGTTTTAGAACTGATTGTGGATATAATTTATTGGAAGGAATCATCTTTCAAAAATAAAAAAGCAGCACATATGTTACAAAAGCAGCTTTTTCTTTTTTAAAATTTATAAAAGTGACATTTTCCCGTTGCTGTTCCAACGAGGTAATGCAACGAGTCGGCCGGCTGAGAGCTGGCACCGGGCAGATGGCCTGAACTTAAATTCCCTGCGGAAGGCACAAGGGAGACACAACGGGGAAACACAACGGGAGAACAGCAACGGGAAAATGATGCAAAATGAGAAATGTCACTTTTATAGTTTGTAAAATTTAAAAAAGTTGTATTGAAATATTAAAATTGTGCATATTTGCTGGATAATTTGATGTTTTTAAAAAAATGTTTTCTTTCAATAAATTATGTCCACAATCAGGTTTAAAACATTCAGTGGTTCATTTTCAAGGTATTGGAATGAAAATCTAAAGATTGTTTTTCTTATTTTTTTTGGTCAAAATATGTTGAAAAATGAGATTTCTATCAATAAATTTTGTCCACAATCAGGTTTAAAACATTCAGTGGTTCATTTTCAAGGTATTGGAATGAAAATCTAAAGATTTTTTTTCTTATTTTTTTTTGGGTCAAAATATGTTGAAAAATGAGATTTCTATCAATAAATTTTGTCCACAATCAGGTTTAAAACATTCAGTGGTTCATTTTCAAGGTATTGGAATGAAAATCTAAAGATTTTTTTTCTTATTTTTTTTTGGGTCAAAATATGTTGAAAAATGAGATTTCTATCAATAAATTTTGTCCACAATCAGGTTTAAAACATTCAGTGGTTAAAACATTTGTCGAAAAGAGATTTGGCCTATATAGATCCACCAATATGCTGCGGGATACAATAGATGGAAAAGTGACTACTGTTTTTTTTTCTGTAGCAACTGTATCTATATCTATATATCTATATTCTTTATCTATATCTATATATATATAAACAGATAGATAGATAGATAGATAGACAGATATTTAGTTAGTGAAAAGAAACATGAAAACCAACACCGAACATATGTATTCATGCATTTGTAAATCTGCATGTGTAATATGTATATATATATAAGAATATCAATCCCAAAAGTAGTGAAAAAAACTATATACTGACTGGCTGATAGTTGATCCACCTATTGATACCCCAATCAGTTTGGGATGTTTCTGGACCAATGGCAGGGCCCACAAACCTCTGGGCAAGACCCAATATATGAACCATATGGCTGGTGTCTTTTGAGCCCGTAGGATCCCCTTTATTTAGAGTGGTATATATATAATATATATATACACGTCTATTTTAGCATACATATCTCGATATACCCCACGCATCTCTTCGAGACCTGCATATATATATATATATGTGCATACACATTTCTTATTTATATGAATGATATATACCCAGTGGTTGGTGTGGTTTGGGCCCATTGGATCCCCTTTTCCATCTATTGTATCCCCCAGCAGATTGGTGGATAAAAGGTTAAACTAATTTTGACATGTGAAGGTATCTTGTACATCATTGAAGAAAACATGAAGAGCCCCAAGATTAAATAGCCGGGAATTGGTCAGGCCGTCACCCGTGGTCACTAGAAGTTGAAGTTTTAGTCTGGATGGGGCCTTGTCTTAAAATATGGTGTAAAAATATATATATATATATATATATATCCATATCATACACTAGGATTAATTTCCCCAAGACTTTGGGACTCAGGGCCTCAGTGGTCCCTTCATCTTATGATCCATTGGTATCCCAGATGTTGCGGCGGATTTTGGAACTATTCCCATTGGAGGTCGGGGCCCGTTGGATCCCCTTTTCCATCTATTGTATCCCCCAACAGATTGGCGGTTCTAATGGTCAAATAGAACTAAGGGATACTGTATCTTTCACACCATTGGTGGAAGAAGGTTGGAAAAAGCCCCCGCGAATAATAGCAGGGAATTGCCTCCTCATCTTTTGACCCATTGATATCCCACATGTTGCAGTGGATTTTGGAACTGTTCCCATTGGTTGGTGTCGTTTAAGCCCGTTGGGTCCTCTTTTCCAGATTTTTATGCATATATATATACTGCATACCCCGGAAGATTGTTGGATCTAAAGGCCAAACATCTTTTCGAGACCTACTTATCTAATTATATGTATATATATATATATATGTGCATACACATTTCTTATTTATATGAATGACATATACCCAGTGGTTGGTGTGGTTTGGGCCCATTGGATCCCCTTTTCCATCTATTGTATCCCCCAGCAGATTGGTGGATAAAAGGTTAAACTAATTTTGACATGTGAAGGTATCTTGTACATCATTGAAGAAAACATGAAGAGCCCCAAGATTAAATAGCCGGGAATTGGTCAGGCAGTCACCCGTGGTCACTAGAAGTTGAAGTTTTAGTCTGGATGGGGCCTTGTCTTAAAATATGGTGTAAATATACTATACAAAATCCCCTAGATGAAATTGGCCCAAACTTTTGCAATTCAATGGGGGCCTCAATCTTTAATCCATTCCTATCCAAAAAAAATCTGGTGGATTTTGGAGCTATCCCCTTTTCCATCTATTGTATCCCCAAGGAGGTTTGCGGTATTCCCTGTGGAACGCCTTTGCTGCATTTTCCAGCGGACCGCGTGACTTGTCTGGTGGCACATATGAACAACGGAGGCGCAATGGCGCGATGGAATTGCAAACACCATCTAGGAGCTCATTTCTTTTTGTGGAGCTTCTTCAAACAATTGCCACAGACGGAGTATGGTACTAGATTGGGCACGCAGGTTTTGTAGAGATGGACCTGTTCAAGGGTTGAACATGTATATACATGGAGGTGGGTCCCCCAAAAAAATCAATACCAGACAAACTTGCAAATTACAAGTGTTTCTCAACACATATTTCCGTCTTTTCATATGCCAAACGCACACACATACATATATATATATATATATACACACATGTATATATACATATATATATATATATATGGCTCTGTCTTTTCACCCACAAAGGCCTTGTTTACCCTGGATGCTTGATACACAAAGCTCAGATCTTCCACCTGGTCCGTGTCCAAGCGGGGCTTCGAGGTCCTTGATGAAGATGGGCTCCCTTCTGGCTCGAACTGGGTCTTGGTCTTGGCTTTGTTCTGGGTCCGGGTAGAGATGTTGATAGCGAAATAAAAACATCTGTATGCGTCCCTCGCGAAGCAAATTGCCACATAGAAAAGCAACATGGAGAAAACAAGATCTGACATGGCGCGTGGCTTAGGTGAAAGCTGTGAGGACAACTTGAGCCTTTGGGACCGCCTGTGGTGGGGATACAAGTTTCAAGGTTGGTGACCATTCCATAAAGTTTTTTGAATGCGATGAATTTGAACTTGTACACATTGAATTGAATAACATACACATACACCCCAGAATCGGACCATTCATAGGCATGTATATGAGATTGTAACAGGAAAAGAATTTGTGGTATGCTCCCTGGAAATCAAGCAAGGTAAGTTACTATCGACTGGAGAATGTTCTTCAAGTTCCTTGCTGGATACAATAGATGGAAAACCACCTCTTACATGGACCGCAATACCATGTTCAAATCATTTGCAGATTTTTCCCATTGGGAAACTGTTTGGTACACACCCATTATGTAAGCCTTGTCAGCTGGCCACTCTCCCCATTGAGCCGATTTGTGAATTATAATCCCAAAGACGGGCCATCATCTTCCCCAAAAGAGGGTATATGTGTATTATATATATATATATGTATCCATCTATATGTACACAAATATAACCAAATGGTTTGTGGAGCAAACTTTCGATTTCCTACTGGGGTCATATGTGGATCATATATGGCACGCCCACAAAGCTAAAAGCAGAATTTCCTTGGTAGATACAATAGATGGAAAAGCTTGTTGCCCCATCAATGGAATGCGTGGCACAAGCCCACACAGCCCTATCAGCTGGCAAACGGCCAATGTCAAAAACCCTTGTGCCATCGAAACGTGTTCTTATATGTACAGGATAAAAAGAAATATATA